AGCGTGCACTGCAGACTCTAGCCGCGGGGCGATTTGCTGAATAAGCAGTGTTACCCTCCGTGCGACAAACCTCTCGCGTTTGAGTCCCCGTAGCCGATCCTCGTGCGATGGAAATCCTTCCTCCAGGTTCTGGAGCACCCCACTATTGCTGGAAATTCCTAACAAAATATCCTTTAGCCGTCCTGACTTGTCATACTCCCACACAGTGAAGCAGCACACGGGGGCAATGCACTCCCCTCACCGCCATCTTCCTCTTAGAACATTTTTTTAACCTTAAAATTCTTCTCTTATCTTGGCTGGTTAGTCCTGGAAAGAATAGAGAGAAAAAATAAATTTTTTGGTAAGACCTTTTGGTGGAACCGTTTCCCCACCTCCAGTCTCTTTTTAAATTGGGGTTCATCCTCTGATTTAGGGGGGGGTTGGCTCACCTAAACTTGTCTTTCCTCTTAATTTCCTTCAGAGCTGCCCCACATTCAGGCACAAGATATCACAGGGTGTCTAGCCTCACCAGGGTAGTTTCCTGCTCAGAAGGTTGTTAGACACCTAAGACAAAGACAGTCTGAAACAATTAGTAAAGAAACAAGAGAAAGAGACAGAAATGAGGTTCAAAGAGGAGCACCTGATAGATTCTTCAGTCCTATTAAGAGCTGGAACTGAACAACTAGAAAATGGCTTTGGTTCTTTATTTAAGGGGAGTGCATCAAAGGCACAGATAAGGTTTCAAGGGGACCTTATCCCACTGCAAACAAGTTGATTGCCATCTTGGGAAGCCACACCCATCTCTGAGAGGCTGGGTGAATGTGTGGCTCCAGTGGGTTTTCCCATCTACAGTGCAGTGCTGAACCTGACAGAGCTGAGTAGGAAGTTACAAGTAGTGGGCAGCCTCAAACTAGCAGAATTACCGCTGGGAGTTCCCAGATACCAAACATTCCTACCCAATGGCTTCCATGTAGATTGGGTTCATGCACATTTCATGGATAGCTCTTGGCAAGGTATTACCTGTTGGAAAAAAAAATGAAAAAGTGAAGGCAGCACCCAACACTCAGACCAGGGTTCTTTGAATGAATGGTCCTTACTGAGGAGCTATGTAGGGACATTAGGTCAGTTCCACAGTGTACCTTACAGGTCATGGGACATAGAACCCCTCTTGATTCAGAGCCCTGAGACCTCAGCTGGTTTCTAAAATTCACCAGGTCACCATCTCCATACACACAAGCATTAGTCGGAACCTTGTATAATTTGCGACCAATTCATTGAGTGTAAATACTGTATTTTGCCAGTTCAAGAAGTTGTGTCTGTCTTTAGGAGGTGTAAATATACAATTAAGTGAAAATATACAGTGTTAATAACTCATTGAAGATGTAAAAGTGATATCCTTTTACTAATAAATAAATTTAGAGTCAGACACATACTTAGTGCTTCACCATTGTGAATCAATAATTGGATTCCAACTACTGTAATATAAACTGATGTGTGCTTTGATCTATATGTTAGATAATACAGCAGTTTTAGTATTTAATAAAATAACAGAAGTACAAGGGAACGAGAAGGTTTATACCTGCTGGGCTATTCACATGCCATATTGTACAGAATGAATTCTAGTTTAGCACATACCTTTTCTGCCAATCAATTATTTCCTTCCTTTATACACTTTATTCAGTTCAGAAGCAGCTCTACTGTTGACAGCAAGCCCAAAGTCCTTCAATCTTTATGCACAAGTTGTTGCATTGCAATCATTTGTGGAACTTTGAGTTGAGATCTTGAATGTTGCAATTTGGAGGAGTCACATGATGGATTTTGACCTCTGGATTTGACATTTTGTTAATGATTATCTGAACAGATCTTAATTAATATAAATGTTGCTAGGTAATCATACAACTCACCCTGCTCTGCAATGCATTTGTTCATGAAATCCATCTTCTGTGTTTAGAATTTTTACCCCCATCAACCTGTGCCTGTGGTTTCTTTACATAGGACCTGGAGAACCATCACGAGCTTCTGTACTGTCTTCACATAAACCTACGAAATCCAGTCTATCCTACTGGTTACCTTTCCCTCATTCAAGGCCACATTCCTTACCTCTTCCATAGACCTAAGATCAAATTTCTCTTTTTGAATAAATTTAGTACCCCAACTTGAAATGTCTAGAAATGAGCATCAATCATGATCTTTGCCTTAATTCTATTTTTCTCTGGGTTTCCTCTTCTGGTGAATTCATGAGGTCAATCTGGATACTCATGCAGTTATTTCTTTTTGTCAGGCTGTGTTATGGGCTATGTATATACAGAAGTGTCAAAACAAAACAGAATTTCTGTTCTGAATGAACTCAGTTCCTAGTGGAGAAACACACAATGAGAAGAGTCACAGTGAATTGTCCTCATGTGGCTGATACCACCTGACCATGCTCACCCTGAGCATCTGGAGCCCATTTCTTATGGCAAAGGGCCCTTTGCCTCTCACAGAACATCAGTACTGAACATCTTCACATTCTGTTCATAACCTCCCATCACTGGGTATCTGCCTGTCCTGCCTTATGTGCACTGCTCACCTGAGTTATGCAAAGTCTCTGGCTAGCTTTTCTTCTGTCCCCTTTCTTCTTTATCTTGTCTTTTAAAAAATTGCATACATGGTATCCATGGGGATAAATCACATACATGTGTATGATAAAAGCATTTTTCTACCTAAATAAACTCTTTTAGATCCTTTACTATGTCAAGATAAGACAAAGATTTATTTTCATATTCAAAATCTCTTTGAGCTACTTCCTAGTCATCCTACCTCAACTCCTCCTCCCATACCCTTTACAGAACCACAAGTAGATTTTATTTGCAAAGAGGATTCATATTTCTGGACCACAGGGTCTCTTTGTCTCTGAGTCCTTCTTGTGCTTCTGCCCCTACCTCACTATCTTTGTGTATGATCAGAATTCAAATAATCTACTAGAAAAGTACTTACTACCATGAGTTGGATGGACATTTGCTTTCATGGTAACACTGTATGAGGAAATTTCTAAACCGAAAACTTTAACCACTTTTGCCATTGCCAATATTTCCATAATTAAAATTTAAACATAGAAATTCACAGCAAAGAATAAGGGTACAATTCCATCCATTATTTTTATATTCAATTAACTGTAAAAATTTATACTTGATATGACTATTGTATATTTTACCATTATTTTCTTTAACTATTTAATATTCTGACATTGAATGAGAACAGTATCACTTTGATTATAATCAGTTATCCAGATTCAACAAATCATATAGATTCTAATGTATTTGTCAACATTGACTTTAATCATGAACAACTTTGAGAAGTGTCTCACCAGAGATCCTGAAAGACTTTCTTAAAATAGTTTAACAAGAAAATTTTGTTAAGGAAAGTTAGTTTTTCCTCAGGTAAGTGGTTTAAATATCACACTAAACCTCCCTGGGTTACACCAGACAGTAAAGTACATGATCTCAAACTTACTTTCCAGCTTAAAAGTCTATACTTATGTTGTTATCAAGATAAAATTTTATTGCCTTATGGATTTTTATAAGATCTGAATTCTTCATGTAGGAATAAGAGACAATGAGAAAATTAAATGTAACATATGACTCCATGTCTGAGCATAAATTAACATATACATACTCTCTAACACCTGGCATTTTTTGAGTAGTGAAAGAAATTCCACCCTATAAGCAACCCTGAGGGGTCTCTCCTTGAAATCCTTTCCATCTTCATTTCACCCTGGTTAAACTTCCTAGGCCAGAGACCATGACAGCCATTCAGAGCAAGGGTCATGTCCTGTCATGTGTGGTCAAATGTGAAAGAGAGAGAGAGAGAGAGAGAGAGAGAGAGAGAGAGAGAGAGAGAGAGAATATGAATATGAATTAATGAAGAGTTAACATTATACAAGGATAAGTCTTACCTTTATCCTGATCCCTACTTGTCTTGGGATTTCCTCAGGGACCACACCTAAGTTCATGCTCATGAGCTGATTCATGGTCTGTCCCCAGATAGTTTAAGAAAGGAGAAGGACAATTGTATCAGTGAGGTTGCTTATTTTGCAGTTACATTCTACGGTTACAATATGCAATGTTAGGAGCTTTGTGTAACTCTCAAGAAAGTCCATTGTCTGAAATTACTATTGCTTGGTAAAATGTTATGGTTGTCTAATAAGAGAGTTTCTTTATTCCAAGGAGCTGTGTGCCTGAGATCAAGGTTCTGTCTAATAATACTCTAGCACAGAACCTTCTAATGCAGGGCATTGCTACAGCAGCTAGGCTTCCTGTGTCTTTGCACAAAGTTTTCCCAGCAGTCAGGTGTTCTGTGTCTTTGTACAGAAACTTTCTAGCCACAAAGGATGCCACAATAATAACATCACCAGAGAACTCCAATCCCAAACACAGAACTTCTACATCTGTGAGAGATGCCCTTGATCCAGATAATTAGTTAATAAACACATCAGAGTGATCTTACTTGCACATGAAAAAATTCACTCTATGAATAGCAATGGGATAACTCCCCAAGCTGCCTCAGGTATAGAGCAGGCTCAGAATCCTCATCCTAGGTGTTGCTTCAGTTCTATTTGTTTCTGGTGCTATGTCTAACAGGAACAAACACATGCAAGTGGTGGAAGGTGGCAATGTGGGTGAAGCCCAGGTGGACCCTCTATGCACATGTTATCCCATTAATCAGGGTCAAGATATGGAATTTCAAGGGAACTATTCATATCCCATCACTGTGAAGAATACTTATAATTGCTGAATATGAGCAAAAGTAACAGAAGATGGTGCTAAAAGGACTGTATGATGTACAAATATGTAAACAACTTTACAATCTCTAAAATAAAATTACATCAGGAAACTCATGACTAGAAACAAACATCTCCAAATACAGACTCAATATTTTGAACACTACTAAAAACATATTTGCATATGGGGGATAATTAATGTGAATTAAATTTATAAAATATCTGGGAAGGTAGAAATCATTAATCAGGGTCAGGAGGCTCCTTATGAACTACGAGTCAGGACACTAGGAAGAGAAGTATAACAGGGCCCATCAGCCTGGAGGTTTTTGTCTAACTTCTCCTTTGCCTGTGTCACTGTGTGTTGCACGTAGCTGCTCCCACTGCCATGGGCTGCCCCACAGTAGTAGACATTCTCATCCTCTTCCTGAATGTTCTGGATGGTCAGGTACCAATCCAGGCCCGAGCCTGAGCCTAAGAAGCGATCAGGAATCCCATTCCCCTTGGATCCCACATTTCCACTAGTGCCCACTTCCATCACAAACCAGGGGCTCTTCCCTGGGCTTTGCTGGTACCAGTCCACATAGTAGTTACTGTAGCCACTGCTCAGGGTACAGATGAATTTGGTGATTTGTCCCAGGGAGGCAGATGCAGAGGGTGGCTGAGTCAGCACAGGTTGGGAAAAGGACCCTGTAAAAGCAGACACATCACAGTGGAAGTCAGGGCCAGGGTGCATGTCTTTGGGGATCTGAGCCAGTGAGGACAGACTCAGGACAGGGGTCTGCCATGGGGCACAGAGGTCTGGTCCTACCTGGGCAGTGAGTGAGCATCATAAGAAGGAGAAGAGTCCTGACCATGTTGGACACAGTTTCCTGAGTTCCAGAGCAGGTGTGGGCTAGCCCAGCCTTTCTTATTCCTCCCCACTGACCTTAAGGAGGAGCAGGTCATGCAAATGTGCCTCCATCCACTGTCTCTCACTGGTTGTACTTCTGGGCCTGGAATGATGCAAGACCCAGTCTGGAGGGTGGTGATATTTTCATTTGCCTGACAGGCAGAACCTAGGATTAAGCAGGTCCTCGGATTACACAGAAGATCACAGTTGCTGAGCCCACATTAGTGACATAGAGCTAACTTCCTCTGTCTACCCCTATTGAGATGTAGAGTCCTGTGGGGACATCTTCATCTGTGAACATTTTTTATGGGCCCCCAGAAAGTGTTCCATGAAGTTTCCTGAAGATTACATGTAAAAATTTAGTCTCCTATTGGTTCCTGACTCCATTTTTTTATTTTTTTTTCCTAGAAATACTGATGGAGATATTTGTGTGTCAAGCAATGTTCCCAGATTAATATTACCACTGTATGTGGACACTGTATGCTTTGGGGGACCTGTTGTTTCCCAGGAAAATTCACCAGGAATTGATAACCAAATATAAAAGTGCCATGAAACAGAATAGAGCAGGAATTCTCACTGCTTACAGTCATTAGAAAACAAACTCATGGAGTCATAATAAACCTTTTGCTTAGATTATATTATCATGTCCATTTTTACAGAGAGGAATTTGGCTCATCTGGTAAGACACTTGCCCAAAGACATATCAGAGCACAAGTTCCAGAGTTTAGATCACCCTGATCAAATGAATAATATTTACTCATAAACATTAAGCCATTGGACTAAGGGGAAAATTGTTATATATATATGACTATAAATTAAGAGGCATAAACCAATACAAACTACTTGTCTTACATTTGCTGAGATCAGAAGAGTGACGTGGATTTCACTGGGCTAACCTCAGGGGGTTGACAGGGCTATGCTCTCTTCTGGAGGCTCCAGGGGAGAAACCATATTTTTGCTCTTTCCAGATTCTAGGAGTCACCCACATTCCTTGGATGGTGGTCACTTCTTCCATCTTGAAAGCTAGAAACAGTAATTGAAACTTTTTCATATCACATCTCTCTGGCCACTTGTAATTTTCTATTTTACTTTTAAGGACCCTCATGATCTCTCTGTGTGCAGGTAAATTCCAGGATTATCTCTCCTCTTAATGTGAGTTGATAAATAACATTAATTACACATGTAATGTATTATCACTTTATCATGCTTCCTAACAGGGTTTAGGGCATGTATGCCTTTGGTGTCCATTATTCTGCTAACCACAGTGCTCTTCTCAAGGGAACTTTTAATTATTTATGCATACTCATTGAAAACATAATAAGACATCACTAAAAAGCCAGAAAGAAATAAAATTTGGAGTTTTGTGTTTTCATTACACATGTATGATACTTCATAACACATTGGAAAATTTATAATTATATATAATTTATACTACGATTTTATTATTATGCATCAGAATTCCCTGAGAATATATATCATGAATATTATTCTGGTTTTGTGACTTTTATCACCAAATATAATAGAAAGTAGAATTTCCTGTCCCTTCTCTGTGGGTTAATAGCCCTGTGTAAGACTTAGAACCATCATACCTTGTACTACAATGTTAATCAGCTTATCCTACAGTTGCAGGTCAGGGATATGAAGAATACCTGTATTTGTCAAGGCATTTTTGATCTTGGCAAGTTTCTGAGAGCTCATAATCCTGATACTTACCTTGAGTCTGAGTAGCATGGAAGACACCAGGGAGGGTTCCTTGTAGTCTACTGGTATCATTGTATGTGGGATCTGCTGACACTAAAGCCATGGTTCAGAATACTGGTGATCCAGGAGTTGCAGAGATGGAGGACAGTTGACTGAATACACCCTAGGAGAGGGAACCTACAAACACAGATAGGAGTAAGAGGTGAAGTAAGGGCAAGATAAAAATTTCTCATGGATTCTGAGACTGAGTGGTTGATGTGAAGAAAAACTGAGACTTGCTAAAGACTACTGTTAACCTGAGCATTAAATGTGGAACAGCAAGGGGAGTAGAAGTCATTGTAGACACAGACCCTGATTCTCACAATAGGAATGGGCTGTTCCAGGACTTCTTTAATTCTGCACCATCCTGATAATGGAAGGCTGCTCATGCAACTGGTTTTCATCATGGCTGCCCAGCCCCTTGCTAAGCCCTAGTGCAGGAGTCCAACACACATTTCAGACTGAGGAGAATGAAATTTTGCTTTCCACCTTGGGGGACCCTTGGGAGGAAACACCTGATGGGACAAGACAAAGGTCTCTCCTCCAGGGATTCAGTTAGGTCAGACAAAACACAGCTGTCTCCGTCAGTGAACAGAGTGCCCACCTGCAAGACCAGGGCTTCTTGGAGTGAATGCTTCTAACTGCTTTGTTGGGACCCCTCAGCAGTCCCAAAGTGCCCTCTGTTGGTCTCAGAACACATACCTTCTGTTGGTCCCAGGATCTGAGATTTCACCTTGATTCTGCAGCTCTGCAGGTCACTGAGTCTATTCACACATGGATTGTCTGGTTTGCAGACTAAAACACACTATCTATAATTTCTTACTTAAATAGTGCCTATTGGTGACACTATGTAAAGTCATGTTTACATATATAGATGTCAATTAAAAATTTTAGTGCTCTTCATATAGATTCTATAAAACTTGTATATCTTCATTACAATTTAGAATATACATACATCTTAAGTGTTCTCCTAGATTCCAACTATAGATGTGTTTGGATCTTAAGCATTTGAGCCAATTTAATTGTTTCAATATTTGATTAAGTGAAGGAAGTACTAGGTATAAACTGAATGGAAAGTATGGTTTGCAGCTGCCATGGCATGTTGTATCAAAATTCGATCCAGTTCAGAACATACCTTCTCTAAAAATCACTTATTTTCTTCCTTTATCCAATTGACCCAGTAAAGAATTGTCTGTTTTGTGGATACTGAGCTCATAAAGTTTTCATACTTTTTAAATGAGTTCCCCCACTTGTATGTTTGTAGGATTGTGGGTTGAGGGGTTAAATGTTATATATATATATATTTGTTCAAATGGTAGATTTTGAGCTCTGAATTTAACATTTTGTTGCTACATACTCATTCTCTCTTATTTAATTTAAATATTGTTATATGTTCTTACAACTCACCTGTTCTGTAGTATATGTGGAGGCTGTACCTCCATCCAAGTGCTCCTGTGGTTTCTTTACTCAGTACCTAGAGCCATAGCACATCCTTCTCCCTGGCTCTACATTCACCCATATGATCCAGTCCACACTCAGGGATAAAGCCCATGTTCACTTCCTGTTCTCTACAATACACAACAAAGCTTCTTATTTAATCTCTCTCTCTCTCTCTCTCTCTCTCTCTCTCTCTCTCTCTCTCTCT